CAAAACCAATAGAATAAAGAAGTCTCTTGGCTAACATAGCCGTCATTAGCTTCAGAACGTCTGGTGGGGCTGGGGTCCAGCACCCGCCCCAACCCCGTTTTTTGGCAAGTCCAGCGCCATAGCATTCTTCATGGCAATCTCCTTCGCATGCTTCTCCCAAATGCGCCTTCTCTTCAGCTCTCCTAGTCCTCCCACCACTGAAATCTCCCCGGGAATAGAAAAAACTTGCATTCCTACTTGGGTTCTCTCCCCTACCCCTTCTGAATTCAGGCCTTGAAGTGACCTCTCCACACGTGCCCTGTTCCCGCCCCTTGCCGAGGAGCTCCCATCCCAGATCGACCTTTTGCTACCCCTAAGGGGTTTTGATTTTCGTCCACCCACTCATAGCCACGGACCGTATGGCCTAGTCAATGCGTGGTCACCTTTCTCATAAAGAAACGAACAGTATTTCTCTACATGTCCAATAACACCACAACAGAAACAGAAACTCGGGAGCTTCTCATATTTGAAAGCTACCCAATACCCTTCTCTTTTACCTTCCCTTAGAGTAATTCCAACCTTCAAAGGTTTGGTCACATTCATTCGAACTCTCACACGCATGTAAGCATCACATTTTTCATCAAACTGTTTGTCATCCCACCTGACAAATTCACCCAGATAATTCCCTATTCTTTTAGGCGTCCCAAATTTATCATGTCTATATGGCACATTGTGAACCTGTACCCAGAGCTCAACTGTATTTAGCGGAACTTTTAGTGGGATATCCCCAGGCTTAATAGCTCTCAACACGATCATATTTTTATCAAACAACCAGGGACCATTGTCCAAAACACGATTCACATCAACAGAGTGATAAAAGATAAAGAGGTACCTCTTCTCCCCGATCTCCTTAATCGAGACACCTTTGCCTGGGCGCCATAAGGCAGCTATGAGGTCCTTGAAAAACTGAAAATGAACCACTTTATCCGTGAGAATCGTCCCAACAACCGGAAACTCCTCCGGCTTCACAGACCCGACCTCCTCTGCCCCATGATTTTCATCCTCCAGCAGCACCTCATCCTCGCTTCCTCCGGTTCCCAAGCCCCCATACTTGTCGACGAGGCCGTCCCTGCGGTTCACCTCGTCCACGGGCCTCCCTCTTGCTCGCGACCGTCCCTGCGGTTCCCTCCTGCTTCGTCTTCCATTTGCACGCTTCTGCAATCGACAAGCCAAGCGCCCAATCTATTAGAATCTGCTTCGACCAATATGCTCTCGCAACCTACAATCGACGCAAAGGAGCATAAAAAACGAGCGCCACACGATGAGGGCGAAAGTCCAAACCCTAATGTAAGGGAAAACACACACAATTTAATACTTTGGATTGAAAATCAAATAGATCCAGTACAACTATGATGACGATCTGAAATAGAATTAAATAGTCCTGGAAGAGTTTTAAAACCCATAGTAAACAAATTAGATGAATGATACTAAAGGAGAAACATTATTCTAATAAAAATGAGTTTTTAAAAAAAATTAATAAAACCATGTTTTAAATGCAATAACGGATGACTTTTTCAAAGTTAAAGTAATATTAACAAATCTGAAATAGAAATGAAAGTGGATACAAAAAACATACACTAAGACTCCTATGGTCCAATAAATCATGGTTCAACTGGTAGTTGTAGATAAAATTGATTGCCAAGAAGCATGCAGGAATTGAACCAACAACATAAACATCTTCTAGTTCAAGAAAAGTTCGAACCCAACTCCCACAATAGAGTATTTGAAGTGTTAACTTGTCATAAATAAATTGGATGGGAACTCAAAAACTTAAACTATTTAAAAAAGAACATATATGCCAAGCATACATAGTATACTTGTTAATTGTTAGAAAAAATCACAATTTCTCTATGACTAACTATACTTCAATATGGTCTGATGTTTATTCAGTTTTCATCAAATGGAATACAAGAAAAATAACTTTGGGCAACAATTTTTTTGTCACCCAAAATCCATATTTTGTCGCTCATTTACTTGGACAACAAAGTTATACTCATCACGAGGTCATTGCCCAAGCCTGTTATTATTTTCTAGACCATCACATATTATTGTTAGCAAGATGTTATATCAATTTCAATTGTGATATCATAAAATTGAGGTATATAGTAAGATTAGCAAGTGGGATTAAATAAAATTGAATAATTCTAAATTTTCGAACAACTTTTCTAGAAAATAGTTTTTCTACTTTTCTGAATTCAAGGCTACGCTTAATTTTTTTAGAAGAGTTGCATAGTATAACGCCGGAGATCAATTTTTTAAAATCAAAAGCTCAATCCATCAATTGGTGTAATCAATTCGGCAGAATGGATAAGAGTGTAAGATATTGTTTAATCGAGATACTAAAAGTTGAGTTTCAATAGCATTGTTATTGCTTTAATTAAAAAAAACCGTTTTTACTTTAACAATTTCTTAGATTGGAGATGTATTCATCAGTATTTTCTTAGAATCTCATCCCCTTTGAACTCATTGATTTTGTGATTGTTCTCATAAAAAATGCATTATTTCATTGAAGATGTTTTTACTTGGAATGATTTCAATACCAAATCAACTCAAACTAGATTGCTATAATAGACTAGGTCTAAATAGTTTAAAACAACTTCCCTGTCGTTCGATTTTCACTCATGGACAACTTTACGTCGCCATCTCAAGAGTAAAGTCTCCGTCTAGGTTGAACTTTATTATGTGTGATGGTGACGGAAAACCGGCCAAGAAGACTTTGAGTGTTGCTTACAATTAAAAAAGCAAATATTAATTTGTAATTTTTTAATCTTTATGTACTTCTGTTTAAAACAATATATGCATTGTTCTATCTTTACACAACATTTCTATATATTCGCAAATAAATTATTGCTTACTAATTGCATCCCGTGCGAAGCACAGGTGAAAAATCTAGTATAAATTAAAGGGGTGTTAATGTAGTATGTCATGGTCATTCTCATTCTTCTTTTTCTATTTTTGAACTTATGATTTATTGAAATTGGGACGTCTAGACAGGGATGGATTTGGGGGGGGGGTGCGACCGCCCCCCTTGGACATTCAATTTTTTTTACCATATATGTAATATTTTTATAAAACTTTCATAATTTAATTATATTCCCCCCCCCCCCCAGCTTTTAATTTTCAAAATTAGTATATAGTCTTACATAATGTAATACTTAATTGGAGATTTAAAAGAAGAAACATCTAAAATAATTTACATAACTTAAACAAATAAACAATAGAGTAACTCGTTATTTAAGATTTAGGATACTTATTATATAAGAATTCCTAGTTTTGTAATGTTCAATTATCTTTATTAGATAACAAGTACAGGATTTTGTAAAACATATATCAAACAATATTAAATACCAGACACACTAATTACACAATTTTTAGATCACATGAAATGAATCCAAAATATAAATATTTATAGACATTAGATTACATAATTCATTTACTTCTTGCTTTCTAAAAATAATTTACTGCATGGATAATAAACTTTAAATTATTATAGAATTAATAAAAATATTAAAATATAATATGCACCATATGTGTGTGTGTGGTGCATATTATTCTAAAAATAACAATCTCATACATACTAGTATACTACTATTGTAATATTAAGAAAACTTCTCATGAGTCATGACTCACGACCACCCTCCTTGGTGGACAAAAATTACAATTCAATAACCGATTCATGAGGTTAAACAATGTAGAAATTATTAAAAATGTATTGGTTGATGTCTTTGTCATCGTCTAAACTTAGAATGTAATAGATTTAAATGCCGGTTCGGGATGTCCAAGTATTAATGTCATTTTTTGAATAAAAATAGCCGCATAGCCCTACAGTAGCAAAAAAAATTCGCCCCGCTACACTAGAGGGAAAAATTTCACCCCGCTACACTAACAAAAAAAAATCACCCCCTACACTAACGAAAAATTTCGCCCCCCTTGACTCAAAATCCTGGATCCGTCCCTGCGTCTAGACATTAAACATGGACAGTGAACATGAATAATGAACATGATAATAGATAGTGTTGTGTATGGGGAGTAAATATGACAATAGATAACGTTCTACATGAGCACTTACTCAACAAATGCTTTGACGAAGTGTGTTGTACAATGATTTGATCGAAGACAATAGATATGACAACATTGGTGTGAAGTGTAGTGATTATGACCAGTAGTGAAGTAATGCACAACAGTAATCTCACCATGAAATACAATATACTTCATCCGAAGTAAAATACTAAAATTATTAAATCTAAAAAATAATAAATAAATTCCTAGAGTGGATGAGAAGAGACTTAATGTTGACGAAAGTGCAGTGATTATAATTGATTCTTCAACAATGTCGTGCAATAACTGCAGTATAAAATATACGAGTAGTAATTTTAATTAGACGAAATTAGTTCAAAATGCATAAATTTTAAATAAGCTTATTTTGTTCATTCGACATTTAAATATAAACAAGGTTTTTACTTTTCAGTCATACGAATATCTAAAAACATAGCTAATCATATTTAGATAAACTCAATATGTTTTAGTTTATCGCGGAAAGTTTCCCTAATTAATATGTTGAAATAAGAAACTAGAAGCTATTTAATTGAAATTTATGTTTTTCCAAAAAAATTGAAATTTATGTAGGAAATACAATAAAAATTAGTCTAACTCCAAATTGATCGGTCAGGTGATAAGAAAATTGTCCAGGGTAAATTTTAGTGAGATTGATGAGTGTTTGAAATTGATCTTGTTTGCATTAGTCCCTTTTGAAGTATAAGTAGAATCAAATTATTTTCTAAAAACTATTTCTAAGAACAGTTTGAATTGATACTCAAAAATATTTTGTACGGAGTATTTGTCATCTAAACGCTCTAAATAATCATAATACTAAATAATCATAACATATGCAAAGTATAAAATATAATCATAACACCAAATAATCATATCATATGCAAAGTATAAAATATAATCATAACACCAAATAATCATAACATAAGCAAAGTATAAAATATAATCATAACACCAAATAATCATAACATATGCAAAGAATAATTGTACAATTATATTATCCATTTGCGGGCAGTGGGTAGCTAGTCCAGGCCATGGCTGTTCTCAGCTGCTTCAACCTTTGCACTCCTCCTCCCCCTTCTAAAATTGCCTCTTCCACCACCCCGCAGAATCGTCACACTTTTCAAATCTTTGCCAGACCTCTTTCCCCGGCTACTCCTACTCTGAACCAACCACCCCACACCTCAAGGGGGGACCCGCTCTTGTATTGTGCTAAATCCCTATCCACTGCCAGCTTTATTGCTCTCCTCTCAGCTTCACTCTTCTTTTCCTCTGATCCAGCTTTGGCCTTCAAGGTAAAATCTGCTCTTTCAACATTGCTCTTTTCTTTCACCTTAGCAATCATTGACTCTGTGGATGTCTAGCAATTTGCTTTTACTTGATAAAGAATTGTATTATAGGATGGATAATTACTTAGTTGGTACAAGTACTATGTCTGAGATTTTGTTTATTGTTTGGTTATGTTATATGGATGTATAAAATTAGTTCAATAAGCTTATCTGTTTGTAAATTTGTAACTTAGTTGTTTGGTAGGTTAGCTGGAACAAGTCAAATGACTTCTAAGGAATAAGTATATCCAATATTAGTTGATGAATTCTGATAATGTTCATGACTTTAGATAAACATCTGAAACTAATGTAATTGTATAAATTATAATTGTTGTTGAATTTTCAAACAACATAGAGAGAAACATGTGCACTTGTGATGCAAAAGTTATTGTATTGCATAATAAGTTTTATATTTTACATCTGTTGGTTAATACAATTACTGTGACTTAATGACATGTTAAAACCATTTTATACTGTGTAAAGCTTATATTAGTTGTAACTTGTAAGTTTTAATATAAAATTATTAACTAATATACAGATTTAAATTGACTATTTACCAAACTGCCAAAAAAGGCTGATTGACTATTTACCAAACACACCCCATTTCCTTGAAAGGGGACTTTGTCAAATTAGAGCAGCATAATTAGTATCTTAATGTGGGGTTCTGCGATACATGACAATGAACAAAGGGTGGAGGTCCATATGGTGCTGAGGTAACCCGAGGGCAAGACCTTACTGGCAAAGATTTTAGTGGTAGAACTTTGATCAAGCAAGATTTCAAAACGGTAATTATTCTATTGTTTTATTTTCTCCCGTTTTTCAGTTCTAGTATTGCAATAGCACTGTGAAGTCTGTTATTAGCACTATTTTAGGAAAGTGAATGCATTGTACTCATATCTATATATTTTCTACAGTCCATATTGAGACAAGCGAATTTTAAAGGCGCAAAATTGACAGGAGCTAGCTTCTTTGATGCTGATTTAACAGGTAACTCATTTTACTACCTTTTTTAACTTTTTCCTGTCATTAAAACTGAGAGTTTTAGCTATTTTCATGTAGCATCTTTTAGCCAATTCATTTTGAGGTTAATTTATCATCATATATTGTTGTTAATTACAGGTGCTGATCTGTCTGATGCTGATCTTAGAGGTGCTGACTTCTCCTTCGCAAATTTAGCAAAGGTGATGAATCCATTGCCACTACCTTGTTCTTGTATAGATGTTTTTGGGTGGATCAAGTCTGAATTTCTAGGTGTTTTTCACTTTAAATGCAATTGAGGGTTTTGATCCGGTCTCTAATAGTATAGGTAATACTAATAAAGAAATTACAGGAAATAGGAGTAAAACAAGGACCATATGCACAAATAGATCTATCTTCTTTAGTGTGAAAATAGTTAATAGCTCTTCTTTAAAGAATGAACATCTCTTAGTCGTATTTGAGAAAATGTATTATGCTTTTATATTATATACTCACTTTTCCTCAAACAGAGTCATGTCTGTTCAATGTGTAATCTTTACAATTTATGTCATTGATCCTACTACTTATCCAAAATTATACTCCTTCCGTCCCATAATGGTTGTCCACTTTCAATTTGGCACGATTATTAATAAAGTGGTTGAAAAGTAAAAGTTGTGGTTGAGATTTGAGTAGAATAAAGTGAATTAATAAGAACCACATATTTCATGCCAAAAAAAGGAAACAAGACATTCATTTTGGGACAACCCAAAAAGGAAAGTAGGACAACCAAAATGGGACGGAGGGAGTATGATACTTTACAATGATCACATTTAACATGTTTTTGTGTCTTTTACTACACTACCTGAAATTTTAGTCTGTTTGAATAAAGCATGACTTGAAAAAGTCTTACAAAGAACATCTTTTTCCATGAGGGTATTTTCCAAGTGGTTTACCAAAGTTTAGGAATGAAGTTACTTTTTTTTAACCTAGGGGGTCGAGGGGAGGGGGGCTAGGGGAGCCTAGGTAAATGGACTAAAACCGCTTCCCTGAAGTTTCGAACCCGAGACCTCCCATATGGGAGAGTGAGTCGGCGACGAGTGAGCTAGACCGCTTAGGAATGAAGTCACTATATGAGTAAATGTCTGATTTATGTTATCAGGATATTGGTAGGAAAAAAGTGATAACATAGCATTGGTTATGTTGAGACTGACTGACTGACATGCAGGCAAATTTAACCAATGCTAACTTGGAAGGAGCACTTGCAACTGGAAATACATCTTTTAAAGGGTCAATTATAACAGGCGCAGGTATGACATAAACAATGCCAAAACCAAACACTGTCTTGATTTATCTCTTTTAATTTCAAGTTTCAGTGATGTTGAATTCTTTCTGTTTTGTTTAATTAATGGGGAAAATCAATTACCTCAAGGTTTTTTCTAATTACAAAATGACCCTCGATATTTCTGAAAATTACAAATAATTAGTCCCTTTAGCTTTCATCTTTTCGCAGATGTCCCTTTTTGAAATATCAAATATTATAGAATGTATTGCATGATATTAAAATGAATTGTGACCTTCAGATTAAATTTGGTATTTTGATGCACTTTATCCAGTAAAATATTCAAAAAGCTTTCTCTAAATTTGGATCAACATCAAGGTTAATTTATTCGGTCTGAGAAAACTCAACTGTTACTGATATACTCCGTATCATTCTACATCATTTCATCTTTGAAGAAAACCTCTGCTGATTAGCTAAAGGATGTGTTGTTTATAACTTTAAGAAACATCGAATGTCATTTGGTCTTTTAGTAAACATCAGGGGAGGTAGGTGTAATTAGAGCTGAAGAGTGCTAAGTTTAGGATCAACGGCCAAAATGTTTGATTTTTTTTCTGACACCAATATTGGATTTGCTCAGATTTCACAGATGTTCCTTTGAGAGAAGACCAAAGGGGATTCCTCTGCAAAATTGCAAATGGGTGATGATATTTACTTAATCTGGTCATATATGCATTGACCCAATAGTTATCTACTTATTTGTGTCATCACTGGGGCCAGCCCGACATTTACGGAGGCTTAAGGTGAACTCCAAAATGGGAATATTGAATAATGAGGAAAAACAGTAATAATTAACTCAATGAAAGGCAAAACGATGAGAGGATTTTTAACAGGAAAGTGTCCTTGAATATCAAGTGTCCATTGGACAGAAATGCTACGTAGAATTTTTTAAATTTACGACAAAATTGTTACTAATGCAGTTACCAACAGTAACTGGCAATAATCAATGGAGTTGCCAATAGGTAGCTAGCCGGTGAGCCTTGGTAACTGCTTTGCTAGCATTTTGCTAGCTTTTTGTAATGGGTATTTAATTTGTAATATTTAAGGAAAAAACATATTACAATTTCCTTTTTCACCCTTGATAAAAAATACTCGTGATTTTGAGAACTAAAGCCCTAGCTTGGATGACTTAACCCCTATATTGCTCCTGAATCATATGTATATGTGTATGCATCTAAAGTTGATGTATGCTTTTAAATTATCAGGCTAAATCCAGAAACGGGTAACGCAACACGTGATACATTACTCTGCCGTTAAAATTTAGAATCAAGGTTTCTCTCCAAACCAAGATGCTGGGTATTAGTATTACATGGAAGGACACACTGTTATTCACTTTGAAACAGCAAATCCTGAGTTGAAGAAGAGGTATATAGAGTTCATATCCTCTAAACGTAGTACATACTCCATATTATTTACACCTAACTAACCCACAATGAGATATGTGTTCTACTTTAACTTCCTGGCATTAATATGGCCTCACCGGGGTTACATCTCCTAATCTTGATTTTCATCGTGCTACTCCAGAAACCTTCACTGATCTCACAGCATTGTCTTCGCGGTTTCTGCACATATGCAAATTCATAAAGTCAATCATTTATAAGTACCACTACCTCCTAATATGAAAACATTGTGTGAGTAATACTGAAAAAATTGGAGGCATAATTTTTTGGGGGAATTTGACTTTGCACCCCACTTTTTGTATGATATTAGACTTTGCACCCCATTTTAAAAAAACTTTTATTTTGCACCCCATTTCACTTCAAAATCATTTGACTTTACACCCCATTTAGAAATTTTCCTTCTCAAATGTTATATGATAGGGTGCAAAGTCAAAGGTTTTTTAAAATGAGGTGCAAAGTCCAATATCACCCAAAAAGTAGGGTGCAAAGTCAAATTCTCCCTAATTTTTTACATTCAAATAGTGTTCTTTTATTGACTTCTTAGTTCTTATCTATTGTTATCTAAATCTTTGGAGTTTTTTCTATAGTATTACTCATACGTAGTATAATAATAATCATTGATAAAAATGTGATGACTAGTAACACGGCCTCATGCGTCAATGCCACCATGGGATGTTTTTTTCCAACAACATTTTTGGCGACTTTTCTAACAACACGGGGACAGTTGTGAACTTGTTAGGGAGAGATACAAAAGATGGGATAGGTTTAGAATATAAGATAAATTAGTCACTTGTTTGAAACATTTGTGTAAAACATGGGTGAAAGTAGGTAGAAATTGCAAAATTAGAAAATGGGGAAAATAATACGGAGCAATAGACTAATAGGGATGGCCCTGGGCCGGTTCGGGCCTGGTTCGGGCCTAGGCCCGGCCGGGCCTCGGGTCTGTTTTGTTGGGCCCGAGCCCGAAACGGTGGCCACCGGTTCCGGGTCCGGTTCCGGGCCGGGCCGGGCCACCCGGTTAGTTTATTTTTTTTTTCTTTTCTTCCCCCCCCCCCCCCCCCCTCACCCCCTACCCCCCCCAAACCCCCCAAACCGGTCCTAAACATCAAGCCCAACTCAATAAAGCCCAAAAAATGAAAAAAAAAAAAAACAGTTTTTTGGCCCGGACCCGGGCCCGACCCGGCCGGGCCGGTTCGCCAAATACAGGGCCCGAGCCCGGACCCGCCCCCCCCCCACCGGGCCTAGGCCCGACCCGGACCCGGACCCGAGAGCCGGGCCGGTTCCGGGCCCGCACAGTGGCGGGCCGGGCCGGTCCCGGACCGGGCGGCCCGAACCGGGTCCATGCCTAACTAATAGCATCCTAAAAAGGAGTTCATAAAGGTGATATATAAAAGGTAAAACTGTAAAAGAGAGACCACCTGATTCAACAATTGGTAGTCCATTTTCTCAGCAGAGACAACAATCTTCTCTACCCCAACTGCAATGAGGTAATTCATGAAGGGACACTTGTTTTTTGGCCGGTCCAATAACTTCTTATAAGTAGTCACCGTCACGCCCTCTTGGGCCACATCATTAACCGAATCTAAATAGAACACGATGGGATGCTGGCACGGGTCAGGACTCACAGGTCGGGTATTGAACGTGAAAGGCCCGTTGCTCAATGTACGCCATGTTTGGAACGTCTGCAGTGGCATTTCTAACTCTTTGGGGGTCAAAACCCGAGGGTATATTTGGACAGCATAGCCCCAAGAGATGGATATTGACCATTTCCACTTGTTGTAGCAGATCGATTGCTGCATTATTCTCGCCGGATCGGGCTTGTATGCCTGGATGATGGTCTGGAATGACTGGAGTAGGGTTTTGTTGGGGAAAAGTGGCTGAATACTTTCAGGGTGGTGGAGGGATACAAGGGGTGCTAAAGGATGAGCTGCCAGTAGACCAAATGCATCTCCTCTTATGTCCATCTGAGAAATTGTCACCACCACACAACAAATTAAAATTAGTTCCAAACATTGATCCATTGAAAATGAATCCCCCATGGAACTTAAAATTGGAAGAACATTCAATAAGGAGGAAAGGTTTTTGTATTTCATATATATCTATATTTTTTCGGGGAATGCCTATATTTCATATATTAAAATACAGAATAGTAATGAATGTCAATTTTTTCCTCAAACACAATAAATGTTATTTTTAAAAAGGTAAAACAATGACGTTGTATTACTACTATCGTTGCGAATATACTAATCACTATATACTAAAATAGAACATTTTCTTGATCATACATATGTCTCAGATTCTCGGAAGGCCCAGTAATATGTTTTTTAAGCGTCTAGTAATGTGTCTCATTAAAAAGATTCTCAAATGTCTAGTCACATGTCACGTGAAAAAATGTCTTTAATTTTTACCGTTTTCTAAATTTTATTACTCCCTCCGTCCCAATATTATCTTCAAATTTTCCTTTTTGGTTTGTCTCAAAATTATCTCTTTTTTCTCTTTTGACAAAGAATTTGTGTTTCACAATCATTTTAATACATTCTTACGCATTTCTCTCGTCTGCACAACTCTACACTACACAATTCTCACTATCTTAATTAAAAATATTACAAAGAGTGTAGAGTTTGGACCTTATTTCAAATTTACTTGAGCATTACAAGTATTACAATTTTTTAATTCCCTAGCTTTCAAAATCCTAACTACAATCCTATGATTAAGTTGTAACAATCTCACTTCACATTTACCATCGGGATAAATTAAAAAGTGTGAGAATAGCATAAGAGTCGATCAAGTCATCAAAGAGTTTAATTAAGTACACTCTCTGTCCCATTAAATTCTTTCAACTTTTCTTTTTGGACTGTCTCAAAAAATTCTTCCAACTTTCACTTTTGTAAAACTTGTGTGCTTCATATTCATTGACTTTTTCTTACACAATTACAACAATACATCTCATCTTTATTCTTATTTTTTTAATTTGCGAGCCAAGTTTGATTTGGAAGAATTTATTGGGATGGGGAAGTAGAAGAGAAGGGATGACATCTCATCCCTAAGACCAAACATCCAATGGACACTTAAACAAGCAAATGTAAATAGAATTTTAATGGATAGCGAGTGAATTTTGACTCTCATACTTATGTTTCTATTTTACTGGGAAGAGGAAACTCTCGTATGAAACACTGGAAAAATACAGTAAAAAGGACACTTTTCCCGAAAACTGTACTTGGGCACCGGCCTATGAATTTGAATTCAGACATTACCGGTGGGCGTAGCTCAACTGGTAGAGAGGGAGTGCCACAAGGGTTAAGTCTCGGGTTCGAATCCCGGCAACTGCGATGAGGGGTTACTATGCTGAAAAATGCATAGGGCTTCTGCAAGTACCGGGGACAGAGCCCCACTCTCCATCTGTCAGATTGTGATTATAGTCCAATTTACATCCTCCCATCGTGCCGTCCGGTCGGTGTTGGGGGGCCCTCAGGGATGGGGTGTCATCCTTTTTTTTTTTTGAATTCAGACATTAAACAAGGGTGAGGAAACGTGTCACGTCGAATTGCCCGCCGCATATCGCGAACGTACAGATTGGATGACCAAACAAACCAAAATAAATCAAAGGCGTCAATTACTCTTTTTGTAACCGAAAGCGACTAATTGAAAAGCGAAGGAAAACCCCTATTTCGGAATCTTTGGTTCCCCGTCGGATGAGTGGAAAATTAAAAAACGCAACACGTTTATTGAAGACATGGTTTGGGCGACGGTTTGAGACCCGAAAGTGACTACTAACTCTACTAAATATGGATCTAGTTATATATTTGAACGGTTGGGTATGAAATGCCTATGATATAGAATGAGTTGATACTTGATAGTGCTGCTGAGTACACATGACATTGTGTAATATAATATCACATAGACATTTACGGAGTATATTTTAGACATTTATCTAATCACAATGAGCCCGTTTGATCATATCAAAATGAACTGTATTGACCGGTTCGATTGAAATTTATGAAATTCAACTTGAAGTGGTTAGATTGACTAGTTCTGTTGATTTATGGAGAGAAAAATTATACTTAAAATTTACTTCCTCCATCCCGGAAATTTCTTTCCAGCTTGACTTGGATCGGAGTTCAAAAAACCGAGAATAAAGTGGAAATGTATGGTTGTGGTTGAGTAAGAAAAATGTAAATGAATGGTGGCCACACAAACCTTTCCAAAAGGAAAACAGGGAGAATTTTTTGGGACGTTCCAAAATGGTAAGTGGGAATCATTTTCTGGGACGGAGGTAGTATTTTATTAAAAAAAAATAAAGAAAATATTGTATGAAAAATAGTTAAAATAATCCTTTACAGTAACTTCAGTCAATACAGCCAGAAAAGTAACTTCAACCTTACTTTTACTTATACGAGTTAATTTAGCGCGTGAAATCAAAAGTCCTGTGTTTGGTGTAAAAGTTGGCTGATAATAATAATAATCCGAAAAACAGGACCACCAAATTAAGCTTTACAAGACTATGACCCCTTTTAATTCAATAAGTATCCTAAATCTTAAATTAATAAGTTGTGCTATTATTTAGTTGTCCAAGTAAAGATAAATTGTTTTTTATTTCTCTCTCTTTAGATCTCCTATTAAGTACGTATCATATCATGTAAGGCTGTAAATTAATTTTGGAAATGAAAAGTAAGGGGTGGTGAACACCGGTGTATCTAATTAAGTAAGAAGTTTTGTTATAAAAAAAATATGACATATCCCATAGAAAGTTTTGAAAGTTCATAGGATGGTCGCCCTAGATGGGTCTTTTATAACTCCATAAATAAAAGAAATAAAAGAGAGCAAAGTTCCATAAAACTTGGCTAAATTTCCTTTTTTGGTCGTATCAAAAAAAATTTGTCATTTCCATTAAAAGCAACAAATATGTAGTTAAAACTACGGAGTATTTCTCTTTTCTTTACACAAATTTCAACCACATAAATTTTACTTTATTATTCTACGTGCAAGTCAATGTTGACCAAATTTTATGAAACGGGAGGGACGGAGTATATAAATGTCAATGTACGAACATATTCCAGCTAGTGCCACAACATTTGGATTTTGTGCATGCTGTCGCCCTACTATCGTTAATACTCCGTATTTGGCGATGGGATGTGAAAAAGTCGTAAAAGCGTCACCTATCTATATATAGGAAAAGACGAATGTGCTACCGACGTAATGGAGTATGCATTAAATCATATTTTAGCCTCTAGATAATTATTCATTTTATCCTGTTAAAATTGTTTCTCTATTTTTAGGAAAATTCCATCAAAATTATCTCATACCAAATCAAATTTAATGAGGTGTATACAACTTTAAATTATTTTTACTTTATTCGTACTTTATTAATTTAGGATGTTTTCTTTTGGACTGAAATTTGCTGGTCTGGTCTGGTCTGTTTAAGTCTGGTCTGGTGTTGTCTGGTCTGTTTAAGTCTGGTCTGGTCTGAACTGGTCTGGTCTGGTAAACGTCTGGTCTCTGTGTATTTTATAACTACGGAAGTCTGGTCTGGTCTGGTCTGTTTAAGTCTGGTCTGGTCTGGTCTGGTTTGTTTAAGTCTGGTCTTGTCTGGTCTGGTCTGTTTAAGTCTGGTCTGGTCTGGGACTGAAAACAGTCCAAAAGAAAACATCCTTAATATCAATCACACATCTACTTTTCTTAATAAGGTATTACTCTCTCATGTTGGAATGGGACGGAGTTAATACTTTGTAAGACTTTATTCTACATTTCTACTCCGTATACACTAGCATTTGATATGAACTAATGAACCTTTTTACTTCCTCTTATTTCAACCACAACCCAAATTATATCAGAATGATCGGCCAAATTAGAATAACAGAACCAAACGTAAATAAATTGAACTTACGCGGATCAAGTTAAATTATTTTACTATTTTAGACTAGACCTCACTATATAGAGTACTAAATCAATATAAATTCAAATTAGATCACACAAAAACTAATCAGATTTAAATTTCGAATAGCAGTTGAAATCTGAAGCATATATACTTTTAATTCATATACGCATATATTAGACTAACCGGTGGGCGTAGCTCAACTGGCAGCAAGGAAGTGCCACAAGGGTTAGATCTCGGGTTCGAATCCCGGCAACTACGATGAACAGTGACGGAGCCAGAAATATATTGTTAAAGGGGCCGGCCCTTAAAAATTTTACATTGCATGGGCCAAAGTTTAAAATATCGACATATTTTCTATAGGTTAAAAGTATTTATACATAATACTACCTCCGTTCTTAAATAAACGCAACATATGTAATTTTACACTATTCACATGTTCTACTTTGACTACGTTTTATTTATTAATGTATGAATATATTTTTATGAAAAAAATATTGTTAGAGTGGTCTCATTGTATACTGTCAATAACTAATTTTTTTAATTTCTTTACTAATATAAATTTATATATATTAATGGTCAAATTTGTGTCTCGACAAATGTGAAATGTTGACCGTTGCATTTATTTAAGAACGGACGAAGTATATACTTAAGAATTTTTTTCTCTTGCAGGGGCCCCCTTCAGCCCCTCCCTGGCTCCCTGTCTCCATCCCTGACAATGAGGGGTTATTATGCTGAAAATGCATAGGACCTCTGCAAGTACCTGGGACAAAACCTAACTCTTTATCTGTCAAATTGTGATTATAGTCTAATTTACATTCTCTCATCATGCCGTCCGATTGGTGTTGGAGGGCCCTCAGGGATGGGGTGTCATTTTTTTTTTTTTGCATATATTAGACTAGTAACCGACATAACGTAACAATGACTATTTATGTACTATGATGTTTGAGGAAAATGGGTGAGGCAAGCCAAATCCAACGAGCTGAGGCGAATGGTACCAAAATACCAAATATGGAGTATGTAACTTCCCCTATACTAAATTAGTAAAAGTAATCTATATTGGACTCGTACTTTGTTATGGTGACCTATTTATGTTATGCCAACACGTGTTTGATGTGGTCACATCCTTAGAACTCACAAACTTTTTTACCAAACATATTTATTTTAAGAGAGATTATACGAAATAGGACTAAAAAGTTTGAGAATTCCAAAATAGGAATGACATGTTTTTATTCCCATAATAGGACTAATTACTGCCATGTTTTGGCAGTATCAGACTTCAAACATGACAGTATTTTCTAAACATGACAGTAATTACTCCTATTTTGGGAATAAAAAACTTGGTAGTCTTATTTTAGAATTTTCAAATTGTTTTAGTCCTATTTCAGGAACTTTCCCTTATTTTAATCATATATGGAGTATTACAAATCGTTTCATTCATAATTATTGTGTTTGTAACTTTATATTAATATCCTAACTAATTGTCAAAAAAATCTAATATATGTATTCCAGTATGACTTTATCCTTACCTTTTAGCATTCAACCTCTAGTTGGACTGCATTTAAATTGTACTGAGTAGTAAACATGTAAAACATCATATGTAATACGAACTTACGAAGTACATCATAGACTTATTAGACCAGAACAAACCAAATTTATACAGTTATATCACCATAAAAGATTATATTTAATTAAGTCCAGTAATATAGATAGTATTAAATATTTAACCATATTGAGTAAGGTTTAATATTAATTTAAACATCAAAATTATGATAATAAATAGGCCTCTATTACATATGTAAGCAATCACCAAAAAAGATTATATTTAACTAAGTCCAGTATTATAGATAGCATTAAATATTTAACCATATTGAGCAAGGTCCAATATTAACTTTAACAATTAACTTTAACATCAAAATTATGATAGCTATAAACGTAAGATATTTATTACTCACTCCAACATGGCTAAATTAATTTCCCGGTGGTGGCACTTTAATAGAATTAAAACAGTAAATATTAAGACAATAACACTAAACTTTAATAGTGGTTGTGAATTTACGAAACTTGTCCGCTTTTTATAAAACTTGTTAATAACATTATTTATATAGAAAGAGGAATATGTTTACTAACATTTAATTGTAAAAATACGACAATTTTAAAATATTTGTTTAAAAAGTTATCAATACATTATTAAAATAAGGCATAGTCAAATAGTGTAATTATCGATATGTTCCACTTATTTGTATATATGTTGAGTTGCTAAATACTAGCTACATCACCCTTATGTATGAACAAAATTACATAATTATTTAATTACGGAGTAATTATTAATTTCATAAAAACAAAACTTATGCCTTCAAATAAAAATTAATTATTACGTATTTTAAAACGAAACAAAAGGTTTGGAAGTTGGAACAGAAAATACCTGGTGGAACCCGAGTTCTCTGGTCAGAGAAACACCAAGCTCGCTTACACATGCCCACACCCTTTGATCTGAGCCGTACATGTAGGAGTATCTGTCCAGGCAGCCGTCCATTATTTTGACCAGTTCTGCCGCCAATGGATAACTTATCGCGAAACCGCCGCCGCCAAACGCCATGTCGTACGCGTGCAACGTGTCCTGCTCCACGCTCTCCGAGTTCCCGCCGACATAGTACATCTCCCGGTGGTCGTACTTCCCCAGTACGGCAACGAGGTTGTCGGGGAAGAACACCGTGTCATCGTCCCCCATCACGAACCACCTCACGCCCGGTAACCCGGCCCGGAATGAGTCCACCACGATCCGGGATAACCGCACTGCCGACTGGAAACGGGTGTCCTTGATTTTCTTCCAGTCCGATGATATCCGGTACGGCGGGGAAGTCTCGGGCAACGGGGAACCCGGATCGGGTTCCCCGTCCAGCCATACGAACCCCCGCGTGAGGTTCGGCTGCCACCAGAGTTCGGAGTAATATCTCCGGTAACTCCAAGTCTTGACCGACCCGCCGACGCCGAATACGATGTGGGATATGTTCGTCGGCGAGGAAGAATCCGGGTCGTGGATCTCGCTCTCGGGCGCCGGCGCGTATTTCAGGGTCGACCCGGCGGATTCGCGGCACCGCCGGAACAATGGGATCTCGCCGGTGAGTGCTGAATTAAGAGCCAACAGAGCCGAAGCGATGAACAGAACCCAAACTCCGAATTTCAACGACGACCTGAGACGATCACCTTTGGCATCCAAAACGGCAATTGCTTTAAACGGGTTTGGGCCATCCCGACCCGAATACACTCGAGTTCGAAACATTTTGGAGAAATGAAAATGTACCCAAACCCGGAGAAGAAAAGCGGTTGCGAAAAAAATCTTTGGGTTGAGAACAGAGGGAATCCGAAAATTAAAGAGATTGTTTTCGATTTCTTGTTTGTCTTGCGGGTATTCGGGTACTGTTTACGGATGTGGGCAGTGTAATCATAAACACTAGTGCGAAGGCGAAAAAATGTGAGGTTTTGACTAAGGTGCTGTTCTGTTCGTCTTATTCTTATTACTTATTGCTTATTCTTATTTTATTCAGATCAGATCAGATCAGATCAGAAAAATTCAGATCAGATCAGATCAGATCAGAAAAATTCAGATCAGATCAGATCAGATCAGAAAGATTCAGATCAGATCAGATCAGATCAGAAAGATTCAGATCAGATCAGAAAGATTCAGATCAGATCAGACCAGATCAGAAACATTCAGATCAGATCAGAAACATTCAGATCAGATCAGATCAGAAAAGTTCAAACATGATTTATCATTTTTATTATTATATTAAATATTAATTATTATTATTAATATTGTTATTACTATTATGGTTATTATTATATTATTATTATTAATAATATTAATAATAATATGATAAAAAAAATATTAATAATAGTTATAATATTTTAATATAATAATAGTAATATAAATGCAATTGTTAAGAAGACTATTATTATTATTATTACAATATAATAATAATAATATGATTAATATTATTATAATATTATATTATAATTATATGTAAATATAATTATAATTACAATTATAATTCTTATAATTATAAGTATAATCAATTGTAATTATTATAATTATATCTATAATTAATTATAAATATAATTGTAATTAATTATAATTATAATAATTATAATTATAATTACAATCATAATTATAATTATGATTATAATTATAATATAATATTATAATAATATAATACTAATTATAATAATAATCATGTTATTATTATATTATTGTAATAATAATATTATTATATTATTGTAATAATAATATTAATTTAATAATATCATTATAATAATATTAATTGTATTTATATTACTATTATTAAATTATGATATTATAATTAATGTTAATATAATTATAATTATTATTAATTATAATTATAATAATTATAATTATACTTATAATTATACTTATAATTATATTATAATTATAATTTATGATTATAATTATTATTTTTATTATAATTATTAATATTATTATTATTATTACTATTGTAATTATTTTACGGAGTAATTATAATAATATTGATACTTATAGTTACAATTATAGAGATAAATATTGTAATTATAATTACGATTATAATTATAATTTTATTTAAATTATATTTGTAATTGCAATTATAATAATTATAATTATAATTATAATCATAGAAATATTCAAATCAGATCAGATCAGAAAGATTCAGATTAGATCAGAAGGATTCAGATCAGATCAGAAACATTCAGATCAGATCAGACCAGATCAGAAACATTCAGATCAGATCAGAAACATTCAGATCAGATCAGATCAGATCAGAAAGATTCAGATCAGATCAGATCAGATCAGAAAGATTCAGATCAGATCAGATCAGATCAGAAAAATTCAGATCAGATCAGATCAGAACTTAAAAAATTCAGACCAGAAACATTCAGATCAGGCGAAGAGAACAGCTTCTAAGAAGACGATGGGCGATGATTGCTCCGTCTGCAACACGGAAACCATTCAAAAAACTATTTATCGTCTACTCTGATGAGTTCTCATGTCTCCTAAAGTTATTTTGATTTTCGACTTGAAATGTTTATTACTCCCTCTGTCCCGCTAAGATTGTCCCATTTTACCTTTTCGGGAAGTCCCGTTAAGATTGTCTCATACCAAATTTTGTAAAGTTTGTGTGGCTCTAAATCATTCCTACTTTATTCTTACTTTATCAATTTAATATCAACCACACAAACTCACTTTTCTTAATAACCGTGCCACCTTCTCATGTCCCAATCTTAGTGGGACGGAGGTAGTAATAATGATGTAGTAACAGGTGTACATTGTTTTCTTAAGGCTAAAGAGTGAGATAGATGTTAGAATTAACTTAAAAAGAGCAATTCATTCTTTACACAAGAGATCATGTCCCGTCATTGCCAATTAGAGGGATTTCGGGTGAAATTCTTTTGATGAAATTTTTTTAACCTTCTTTATAAAGTTCAGTTAACTCATACGAAATTTCAGCTAAAAAATCAATCGGAAAGACAGCCAAACGAATTTTTGAAAATAACTGCGCAGTTAAACAGTGCAGTACATTTTAGAAAATTATTTTACTATCTTCCCGGTTGAATTTTTATCTGAAATTTGGTATGGGTAAATTAGACTTAATGAAGAAGATGTTCAAACAATTTCATCAAAAAAATTCATCGGGAACCACCACAATTGGCGACAGCCGAACAGAGTCTCCTATATAAGGGGTGAATTGCACTTTTTAAATTTGTTTGATGGCCTATTTGAAACTTTAACATCTTTTCTTAAAAAAGGCACTGTGGAGTATCTCAGTATCGAAAAATTTAGAGTGACTATAAAATTGAAAATTTTAATTTACTCTGTAAGTGTTTAAAATGTTACGTACTCCGTTTCATTTTGATTATCTTACTTTTTTTAATTGTCCCAAAATCAATATCTATTTTTTTCTTGACAAGAAATACACCGTCATTTTTATACATTATCCTATTCAAAGCTGAAACATATTTTTTAACTTTCAAGTTTCAACTAATTTATTAACTTTAAAAAAAACTAATTTATTAATAATCATGTCAAATTAAAATAATACTGTACTTAAAGAAGTATTAATTATACGAAGTATTAAAAAAAAGTTCGGTCGTCTCACGCTTCTCTCTAGGGCTTCGGCCGCTTGGAGTTTTTTTCCGTCTTCGATTTTAATCGAAGGACGGCCGCTTTTTCCGTCTTCGATTTTAATCGAAGGACGGCCGCTATTTCCGTCTTCGATTTTAATCGAAGGACGGCTGCTGTTGTTTGTGCTTCATACTCGAAGGACGGATTTGCTGTCATGGCTCGAGGAGATCGGCGTTGTGGTCAAGGTTCGAGGATGATGTATTGTTGTCGTCGTTGGAGAAGATCGGCGCCGCCTATCCGTTTACTCTGGTTGCATGAAGCAGGGATGAGTTTGGTTATGCAGGGACGGAGGATTGATGCATGGCCTTTGGCAGACAAAGGTCACAGAGTATCAATTAGCATGGTACTGGTGGTAAGACCTCCTCCTGAACCACCACCATGGGATGTATAAGGTGCTAGAGTTCGTGAACGCTTTTCTTGTAGTTTTTATCTGTTTGTTATTTGTTTTCTTGTGTCCACTTTTGTTGTTGGTTTTGACAGTTTGTTTGAGTTTTTTGCCTCTCTTTATGTCATTGGGTATGGTTGGATCTATGGGAATAGGTTTGGTTGTGTCAAGCCCACTACATGGTTAGCGATTCGTGTTGCTCTCTCAGGGGTGACCGTCTCAAAGTCTCACCATAGTGATTCGTGTTTCTGCTTCATATTTGTCTACTAATCCTATTTTGCATGCTCGCAGCAAACACATCAGCATTGACTATCACTTTGTTCGTGAGAGAGTATCTCATGGAGACCTGGTTGTTCGCTATGTTTCTACGCAATTCCAGCTAGCTGATATTTTCACAAAATGTTTGTCACCTCAACGTTTTATATTTCTTAGGGACAATCTGCGCGTTCTTTCCCCTACACAGATTGAGGGGGTGTAATAATGTATTGATTAGTCTAAATAGGTCTTCCTATTTTAGTCAGTTTCCTATTGTATTCAGGACACATGTTTTATTATATATATGACATTCATGGCTACCACATTGGTATGTCTGCCATTATTCTCACATAGGGTTACAGTCGTAGTTGTTGAAGTTTCAATTGGTGTCAGTTTTATTTTCCTTTTGGTTGATGTAATGATCCTCAATTTTTGATATGAATAGATTAAATTGAAATTTGCGATTATCAAAAAACGTTTTGGGACACTACTTTTTCAATGCTCTGAAATAGGAACAAATTTTATGAGTGAAATCTATATATTTAAATGTAACAGAATGATTACTTCAATAAAATGCGGTTAAAGTTTTGGAATAGTCAATGTTTTTTTTTAATACTACGTAAATAAAATGTATAGAAATAAATAGGGAAAATGGAAATTAATAATCAAACCTTTCACATGTTTTCATACAATAGTCTTACTTTATCGTTATTCATAAATAATCCAACTTTTGCACCTCATCTTCATTCGTTAGTCCCGAACCGGTTTATATTGAGGGGTCACCCAAACTACTAGGGATAATCCTTTTGAGGTAGCAATAAAAAGTATGAATGTACTATACTACTATATCCCAAATGTCATGGTAACCGATTCATATTGAGGGGTCACCCAAACTACTTTGTATTATGTACGATTCATATTCTCAATATATTCTACTAGTATAAATTTTTAAATTCATTGATAAATTTTATAAACTTTCAAAAAGTTCATAGACTTTTAAATCCAGACCGCCACTACCGGTCGACGAAATTAGCACCTAGATTATCGCTATCTATTTGCATGTCCGTCTCCGTCACCGAAGTTCGTCGCCGTCATCATCGGACTGATCCGACA